GCTGATATTTTGTTTTGTTTTTCAGAACCAAGAAAACTTTTAAGCTATTCACATCTTTTAACAATTGAGTAAAGTATACTCTTATAAAAAGTTTGAAGCATATTTGTTTCTCTCTACCTAATTTTCTCAGAATTTTGAAACTATTTTTGAGTATTCTTAGCTTATGGCAATATAAGTTATTTGTATAAGTGCAGTAAGAATCTGTTTTCTTTTGCAAGAGGACACAATTGGAGAAACTAGTTATTTTACTAAAGCTTTGACTGAAATAAAGTGTTTTCCTTTAAGGAATCAAATTTGACTTGTAGAGTCAATAAAAGCCTGTTGGGAAAACTGGCCTCATATCTTGTCTACACAGTTCCTGTACAGGGTTCCTAACTTGTCTTAAGTCAGAATGCCACTTTCTGACAGGCCCAGGAGCCCCAAGTTATCCTGGGACTTCAAGAGGAGAGGAATTTGCTCAACTCATAGGTATTTGAGTATGCAAACACATGGTTGGGCTTGCCTTAAAAAAAGTTTTTTTTGAGATTCCTTATCGTGCAGAGTTCCATCAAAGCCAATTTTAGAAGCTTATGTGAAAACTAATTATTTTTGCTGCACTTTATACAAATAATCAGGCCAAGTATAATAAAGCAAATTGGTCTTACCATGATTTTGGGAGACTGGAGAGAGAAAAAATTATGTTTCAAAAACAATAGTACACCTGCTATTAGATTCTAGTCTCATCAGTTGTTTTTGAGTTTGTTTTTTTTTCTACAACATAGAATGATTTTGTTTATTCCTGTGAACCAACCAGTGTTCTCTGGCTGGAGCTCAGAAGAAACAAGAGGGATGAGTAATGCATAAATCTAGATCAATACTCTAGTTCTGGACACATATTAGAATCAGCTAGCAATCCCAAATTAGCTTTGTTCCAACAGTTGCCCATTTCATGGAAAGCTACCTTATTTAGTTTACTTGGGACAATTTTACTTGTTTTGCTTTATGATTGTGGATTATATTTACTGTTGTATTCTTTGCATATGAATGCACAATAAGCTTACTGAGATGTCTTCATAAACTGAATATTTATTAATTTTCCACACATCAGCTTTTGTCAGAGTTACGAATGACTCTCACCATATTGGCACTTTCCTACTGTGCTCCTTTCTACCCTGAATACCAAAGACCGTAATAATTAGGCAGAAATATCTTGGCTCCTATTTAGCATAAAAAATTACAGAGGATAGATCTTCATCCCTCTAAAACCCTTAGGATTAAGGGTTCTCTTATAAAAGGGATGGGGGAAATATGTCAGAGGTGTTTGAACCAGAGCAACTTCATCCTGACTAGGGTCTGGGTAAAATAATGTTGAGACCTGCTGACTGCATTCCCAGTAGGTTAGATATTCTAAGTCACAGGATGAGATAGGAAGTTGGCACAAGATACAGGTCATAAAGACCTTGCTCATAAAACAGCATACTGTCTGCCAGGCACCATAGGTCACAACTGTAATCCCAGCTTTTTGGGAGGCTGAAGTGGGCAGATCATTTGAGGCCAGGAGTTTGAGACCAATCATGGCCAACATGGCAAAACCCATCTCTAAAAAAAAAAATACAAAAATTAACTGAACGTGGTGGTGTGTGCCAGTAGTCCCAGCTACTCAGATGGCGGAGGCAGGAGAATTGCTTAAACTCAGGAGGCAGAGGATGCAGTGAGCTGCCAGTATGCCACTGCACTCTAGCTTGGGCAACAGAGTGAGAGTCTGTCTCAAAAAGCAAGCAAACCAACAAAAAAGAAACCAAAAAAAAAAAAAAAAAAAAAAACCAGCATGCAGTAAAGAAGCTAGCCAAAACCCATCAAAATTGAGATGGCAATGACAGTGACCTCTGGTCATCCTCACTGCTAATTATATGTTAATTATAATCCATTAAGATGATAAATAACACTCCCACCAGTGCCATGACAGTTTATACAAATACTATGGCAACATTGTCAGAAAGTTACCCTAGATGGTCTAAAAAGGAGAGGAACCTTTAGTTCTGGAAACTTCCCACCACTTTCCTGGAAAACTCATGAATAATCCACCCCATGTTTACCATATAATCAAGACTAACAATAAGTATCCTTAGTCAAGCAGCACATGCCTCTGCTCTGCCTATGGAGTGGCCATTTTTTTATTTCTTTACTTCTCTAATAAACTTGCTTTCACTTTACTTTATGGACTTGTCCTGAATTCCTTCCTGCGTAAGATTCAAGAATCCTCTATTGGGGTCTGGATCGGGACCCCTTTTCAGTAACATTATGGCATAAGAATCTCTTGTGCTATTAAAATTGATTGAAATAATTGTGATAGCTGTAAAATATTTTGTCTTATGGATACATTGTAATTTTACTCTCGTTGGCTTTTTTGACTATTTTCCACTTTTTTTTTCTATGATGAAATGAAGACAAAGTCTGTAGAAGGAATAAAAAACACAGTGACTTGGTGTCTGGAGACATAGGAAAACCTGAATATAGAACTGTCTGTATTAACCTTGCTTGTATTCTCATTTCAGGAGAGTGAAGGCTCAACAGGATCTACTAAAGAGAAAGCAGAAAGTAACAAATTGTCAACTTGTCTCCAAAGCAGTGTAAGTGACAACGTATTCTAGTTTTGATGAACCAGCCCAGAAATAGTTTGAAGAAAAATATGCAGATATTTAACAGACTTGTTGGAAGTACTCAAGGGCATTCAACTCTCATTTTTCTAATTCTGGGATCATGCTTCTGAGGTATATATTTGTAATTAAATGATTTATAAATTAACCAGAAGCTCTTATGCAAGTTTGATTCTCTAGCAAAATATAGATTGGGCACTAGTTCATAAATTAATTCCTCTTGAATAGCTGCTGTCAGTTCCCAGAAGGATGACAACTGTGGCACAAATAGACTCAGAATGTCCAGGTGCAGTGGCACGTGCCTACAGTCCCAGATTCTTGGGAGGCTGAAGTGAGAGAATTGCTTGAGTCCAGGAGTTCTGGGCTGTAGTGTACTATGCCAATCGGGTGTCTGCACTAAGTTCAGCAACACTGTGGTGACCTTCCTGGAGCAAACCACCAGGTTGCCTAAGGAGGGGTAAAAGGACTCAGGTTGGAAATGGAGCACATCAAAACACCCATGCTGCTCAGTAGTGGGACCATGCCTGTGAATAGCCACTGCATTCCAGCCTGGGAAATAAGAGAGACCCTGTCTTGGAAAAAGAGAGAGAGAGAGAGAGAGAGAGAGAGAGAGAGAGAGAGAGAGAGAAAGAGAGAGAGATCCAGAATCCAGTATTTCTGAATTTACAGAACACCATCACGTTTTGTATAATAACTAGGGAAGCCAAACCTGAGAAGCTAGGCAACTAGCTTCATTCTTGCTAAAAACACTTCTTAGTTGCATCAATGATCATCAGAGGAATTCAATTCCTTGGAATCTTCTTTCCAGAATGCATACAGGTGATGTGTAATGATACCTGTGAACTGCAACCTGACTTTTCAGTCTCAGAACCGCATCTGGTTCATGGCATAATTTTTGGAACGTTAAGGATGCAATTGGGAGCTTCATTAACTCCTCTGGATTCCCTGGCTACCACTAAATGGAGTAAGACACAGCCAGATTGTCCTAAAAAATTAACAGAGCTGGGATTCAATCAATCTTGGCACCAGATCAATGGTCCTGGAAACATTGTTTTAAATTATGGGCTCTAATAGAGCTGGCATCGGCATATGAAAAGACATTTATGAAATTATATTCTTCTAATTATATAACAAATGAATTATTGCTTTTAGAAAAAAATTTGAGTGATGAAGAGCCACTTTCTTTAAATGCCCCTAAACTGATTATACACACTTAGCCAGGCGTACCCAAACTACGGCCCGTGGGCCATATGTGGCCCCCTGAGGCCATTTATCCGGCTCCCCGCCACACTTCAGGAAGGGGCACCTCTTTCATTGGTGGTCAGTGAGAGGAGCACAATATGTGGCGGCCCTCCAATGGTCTGAGGGACAGTGAACTGGCCCCCTGTGTAAAAAGTTTGGGGACGCCTGCACTTAGCGATGGCATGAAAAATTAAAAATATAACACGTACCAACTTCATACAAAATACACACACACAGAGGATATGCAAATGTGTCAACACATACACATACATTCCTTGGACCCTGTCTGCCACTGATAAATCAAAACCTAGATTATAGTGTGGTTTTCTCTTGAACGTTTCTATCTGAAAGAAAACAAGACAGTATGGGGGCCTCCCCGCCCTCACTCTGAATGCTTAGGACAATGCAAACCGGGGTTTCCCAGCTTATTGCAACTGAATCCTCTTCAAGCCCCATCAGCTCTGCTCCAGACAATGCTATCCCCACAGACAGACTATTAGGGCTTATAACAATGAAACCCACAGGACAAGTGTCCAAGAGTTTCACTCCTTTCTTTTGTGGAAACAGCCTCTGCTTCAGGCAAATGGGAAATCCAGGGTTGGCCTTGACTTACAGCTTGCATGTGTATAGGGGAGTCATGGTGTTTCAGTAAGGGTAATGTTGTCATTTGCCTCTGTGTTTCCAATAAAAGGAAACTGGTATTAGAGTCCCAGGAAGGAGCTGTCAGGGAAAATGTGAAACATCAAGTCCAAGAGAGTGAGAAAAAGGCAAAGAGAAACTTTCTGGTGGAGGAAGCAGTAGGGTGTAGGGTTACACTTTTTCTAAATGCCCACCCATGCAACAGAGTAACCAACCAGGTCTGGGAGAAAATTAGGATAGTTAATATGTAGGGCTGTGTTTAGATGTTTAGTATAGCATAATTTCTTCAGTCTTGATGAACTTCAATATTCCAACCAACTCTCATTTTGCAATTAGATTAGCTTAAAGAGAAACTGGTAGCTTTTGGAGAACTGTTGAATTTTGGAGAACTGTTTCCACAGCTACTTTATTTTTCCCTATTTAGTTTGCCTAAAGCTTGCTGGCTGCTGTGTAGACTTCTGGGTGGCTGGAGCTGTCTGAGCCATGAACAGCATCAGGGCTGCCATCCTCTTCTGGGCAGTGGCAGGATGGGCTAAATCAGGCAAGCCTCCAGGAGAGACAGATGAAGTTGGATTTCAAAAATGCAAGGATGCCTTGAAACTACCTGTCCTGGAAGTCCTACCTGGAGGGGGCTGGGACAATCTGCGGAATATGGACATGGGACGGGTGATGGACCTGACTTACACCAACTGCAGGACAACGGAGGATGGACAGTATATCATCCCTGATGAAATCTTCACCATTCCCCAGAAACAGAGCAACCTGGAGATGAACTCAGAAATCCTGGAATCATGGACAAATTACCAGAGCAGCACGTCCTACTCCATCAACACAGAACTCTCTCTTTTTTCCAAAGTGAATGGCAAGTTCTCCACGGAGTTCCAAAGAATGAAGACCCTTCAAGTGAAGGACAAGGCTGTTACTACCCGAGTTCAGGTGAGAAACCTGATCTACACAGTCAAAATCAACCCAGCTTTAGAGCTAAGCTCAGGTTTTAGGAAGGAGCTCCGGGACATCTCTGACTATCTAGAGAACAACCAGACGAGGATGGCCACCTACCTGGCAGAACTCCTTGTCCTCAACTATGGCACCCACGTCATCACCAGTGTGGATGCTGGGGCTGCTCTTATTCAGGAGGACCACATCAGGGCATCCTTCTTCCAAGACAGCCAGAGCAGTCGTAGTGCTCTGACTGCATCTGCTGGAGCTGCCTTCCAAAACACTGTGAACTTCCAATCTGAGGCAAACCACGCCTCACAGAATGTCCTCACCAAGAGCTACCTCTCAAACAGAACCAACTCCAGGGTGCAGAGCATTGGAGGGGTTCCTTTTTACCCAGGCATCACCCTCCAGGCTTGGCAGCAGGGCATCGCCAACCACCTGGTAGCCATCGACCGCACTGGCCTGCCTCTGCATTTCTTCATCAACCCCAACATGCTGCCTGACTTGCCAGGCCCTCTGGTGAAGAAGGTGTCACAGACAGTGGGAACTGCTGTGAAAAGCTATTACACGTTCAACACCTACCCTGGCTGCACAGATCTCAATTCTCCCAACTTCAATTTTCAGGCCAACACAGATGATGGTTCCTGCGAGGGGACAATGACCAACTTCTTTTTTGGTGGGGTTTATCAGGAATGTAGCCAGTCCTCAGGGAATGGGAATGTCTTCCTCTGCCCAGAGTTGGAGCAGAAGAATCCACTGACTGGTAATTTCTCCTGCCCCTCTGGCTACTTCCCGGTGCACTTGCTATCCCAGACCCGTGAGGAGGGTTACAACCATCTGGAGTGTCGTAAGAAGTGCACCCTCCGCATCTTCTGCAAGACAGTGTGTGAAGATGTGTTCAAGGTGGCAAAGGCTGAATTTAGGGCTTTTTGGTGTGCATCCAGTAGCCAAGTACCTGAACACTCAGGACTCCTTTTTGGGGGCCTCTTCAGCAGTAAGAGCATAAACCCCGTGACAAATGCGCAGTCATGTCCAACCAGCTACTTTCCCCTGAAAATCTTTGAAAACCTCAAGGTATGTGTTTCTCAGGACTATGAGTTGGGAAGCAGGTTTGCGGTTCCCTTTGGTGGGTTCTTCAGCTGCACAGTCGGGAACCCCCTGGTGGATCCAGCCACATCCAAAGATTTAGGGGCACCTTCCCTGAAAAAGTGCCCTAGGGGCTTCAGTCAGCACCTAGCCCTCATCAGCGACGGATGCCAAGTGTCCTACTGCGTCAAGTCTGGGCTTTTCAGTGAAAAGTTTCTTCCCCCTGCTAGTCTCCCACCTTTCACTCAGCCACCCCTTGTGAGTCAGGCTGACACCAACACTGTCATAGTGACCAATTCTGAGAATTCGAGAGCCTGGATTAAGGACTCCAAGACCCATCGCTGGAGGCTGGGAGAGCCGTTAGCGCTGCAAACTGCCATGAATGGCATCCATGGGGATGATGGTGGTGTGTCAGGAGGGTCTACAGCTGGGATCGCAGTGGGAACCACCATCATTCTGGCTGTTCTCATCACCCTGGCCATCTATGGTACCCGAAAGTTCAAGAAGAAGGGATACTGGGCATTTGGGAAGAGGCAGGGTTTTGTTCCAGGCATTGCAGCAACTGGAGACACCCCTTGACCAAGAGCAGGGGCAGAGTCGTTTCAGTGTCTCCCTGAAAAGGGTTTCTCTCATCTCCAAATAGCATGGTCATTTCTGATTACTTCTGTTTTCCTAAGTATTAAAATGGCAAATGCAACCAAAATCACATAGATATTTGTGACTTTTTATTTAGGTCTCTGGGCCAGGCAATCCATACTGCTACATGAACCAGGGTTGGGGAGGGAAAAGGGAACAGCTGGGACTCTTGAAGCAAAAACCATCCTGAGACAAAAACAGGAAGGCAATGTCCTTTCCCAATGTGTGTCGCTTTCTTCAGCTGAATGCATTTGTGTAAAGAGAGAAGGGAGAATGTTAACATTTGGATTTGGAAGCTATGCATTTACTCTGAAGTCTGCTGTGGTTTCTAACGTGTGTGCTATAAGAATATCTGCCTTTAAGCACTACTCTCTCTCTCTTTTTAAGTTGTCTGGATTTCATGCTTCTAGAGCCTGGCAGAACCCTGGAAAGACACAAGTCCTGCTTGGTCACTGCTCTTTAACTTTTAGGCCTCCCTGTTGACAGACTGTGTTATCTCCTCCATGTCTTCTCGACAGCATCTGAAGAGAAAGATGTTGCCTGTGTCAATTCCACTTTTTTCCAGCTGCCTCATGATGAGGATTTCCTTAGACCAGACCACTCTTGGACTTCTGACTAATGTCAGGAAGTCCTCTGAAAGTATTTTAACATATAAGCTCCTATATGGGGGAAGCTTCTATAAAGGAGGAGGGACAGTTTGTCAACAAGGAGTAAGGAAAGAGAGATTAAAAACTGGAAAAGATTCTGATGCTCAGGAGAAACTGGAATTCTTATCCACAACCAACTACCTGATTCCTTCCTCTTACCTCATCATAAATGAGGCATTGAAAGGAGCTGCAGATTTGGATACACGAAATTTTACGGTTTCTTGTTCTATGTTACCAAAGTACAACTCCTTCCTCTTCCAAGGATGGTTCTTACGCTTTCCATCTTCCTGTTACATGTACACACACACACACACACACACACACACACACACACACACCATTTCAATAAGTCTGCATTGTTCTGGGAGTAAAAAAGGCAAGAAGTTAAAGCAAGCCCACATCTAAGTATTATTTCCTCCCTAAAACCAAAACAGAGTAGGTAACACCAATTCTGGACCCTACCTTTTTTTTTTTTTTTTTTTTTTTTAAAACAGCAGAAAGGGAGCTGACATGATCAAATTCATGTTTTCAAATGAACTGAAAAAGGCATTCAGCACCACTTGTAACTCATTTATTTCAGTTCCAAACTGAGCCCTGGGGCATTTAGCAGGACACATGATTGTCAGCTGGGAATAGTTGGGGCTTTGCTCAATCTTAATACCAATCTCACCTGATAGCAATTACCTCCACTACTGTCATGTTCCTTCACAAAATTTTTTAAAAATAATGTATTTATTCACCAAATCAAATATCATTAGTGAGTTATCTTCTATCAAAAATGACTGTTCTCTTTGTTAATGTTCACAATCAAGATCTTGGGCTGAGAAGAGGCCCTTCCCCAGAGTTTGAAGCATCACACAGCATGTGGGAAAATGGGAACCAGGATACCCATTCGCTTCCAACTAAGGAACAGAGAAATGAGTCACAGAATTTGAGCCCTGCTCTCCTGACTGCCCAGCCAGGAACACTGATTTCTGTAACCCCTTCACTTAACTCTGCCCCTTAAGCATTAAAACATTCTCTTAAACTTCTGAGTGTTTGTGGGTTCTGGGTGTTTTGTACATTTTAGCCAAGGTAACTACTTGTCTGCGAATACTGACTTTCCTATGAATTATTTGAAGATTATTGAGTCAGAAAGGCAAAATATAGCCAAATTCCCAGGCCTTTATTGCTTTAACAGCCTACTGAAATGAAAAGTTCCTCACAAACTCATATTAGCACTAACAAGATCGCATATAAATGTGCATTAAAGTATGCACTAGGAAACCCTCTGTCCAACGGCTCATGCATATGAAGTTAGAACGTGGGAGTTTGCAGGTTGCATCATCAAGTCATTTTGCAGAGTCAGATCTCTAATGGAAGAGCTCACAGGCTCTGCCTTTGGAGTCCTGGGTTCCTAACTGGTGGTCTTAGGCTGGGGTCAGTGAGGAGACCAACCCTGGCTTTCAAGAAAACCACATTCCACGTACTACCAGAAATAGACACAGATTTGGGTAACAAGGGTGTTTCTGCCTTTGTATTTTTTTGTGTGTTCTTTTCAGTTTTGAGATGATTAATATTAAACATTTATTTGAGAAATAACAGGCAGAAACAACCATTTAAGCATACATTATATTGCAATCAGGTGAAAGACCCTTTAAAAGAGAATATTTGTGATTTTAAGAGTGGTTTTTCTCCCACACGTTCACTTACTCATTTTTCCAGCCATGTGGTCTGTTCCATTAGGTGAAGTCTTACCAGGTCAAATGTGTGGGTGAAATCAATGTGGAACATACATATATATTTTAAGTGGGGGCTGAAGGGACTGTTTCCCCACCCAGTGTAAGGGCTTGTGATTGCTTACAGACTCAGGGAGGTAACCCAAATCCCTCACAGATAGGTGCACTTATCTACAAAAAGCAGAAGGTCAACAACAGCAACAACTTTGTGGTTGTTCATTTGCCATTTATTGTTCTGCACAGACACCTCATGAGCACCAGGTGGCGATGTCCTCTCACAGAGCAACACCAAGGACTTCAAAACACTCCAGTTACAAACAGAACAATTCACTTAGGAAATTCACCTGCCTCTCGCAGAAACCCAACCTAATGCCTGGACTACAAACAAGGAAAAGGTTTTTTTTTTTTTTTCTTGTACCACACAAGCCTTCCCCCAATTTTCTCATGCACACAACAGTGCAATACCAAGATGAGGACTTTCAACCAAGTATAAAACCACAGAGAAGACCAAATTTTACAAAAATGGGAAGAGAATGAAAACACAAAGGCACACACAGCCACATATACACAATGAAGCTTTTAGGGGATGAGCATCTGACAAGGTTTGTCTCCAATCCAATTTGTCATCCCTGGAGACTCAGGAAGGGAGAAACTAGGCTGCTGGTGCTACGACCAGGAAAGGGAAGGCATGGAATCCCCTAAATAGGCCAGGAGAGCACAGCAGGGCTTCTGGTGGGAAAACACCCTGTGTCAAGGTAGTGCATGCACAGGGCTTGGCTGGCAGGGTTCTCACTGAAATCCAGACCACACCTTTTCAGGTTGGCACAAGAGAAAGGGCAGAGGTATGCTCTTTGCCTTGCCTGGCACAGTGTTAGAAAGGAAATTCAAGACCTTGTTGCCTAGAAAGTCACACAAGAACAGCACAAGGATGAGGTAGCCCCTACTGGGCATCAGCAGAGAGAACAAGAAATGGGGCATAGACACAATCAAATCCTAGGGGGAAAGGCTTGAAGGTATGAAGACTACCTCTCCAAGTGGTATTGCCATAGACACAGTGGCTCCCTTTCCATCTTGAGTCCTCTTCCTTCTGCTCCTGGCCACCCCCTTCCCCACCTATACCTTCTTCTGCCTGATGTGGGGAAACTGGTCTCTCCCCACTGCCCTCTTCCATTGTGAAAGTCTGTCTTCTTTTTTTCCCCATCTCCTGCTGCCTCATTGTGTCTTTCTTCCCATGAACACTCAGCCTGTTTCTACACCCCTCTGTGACCACCTTTCTGTGACCTAGAAGCCCAGCACATACCAGATCAGGTTGCTAAAGGCAGAGATGGCACGAGGCTCTCTAAATTATCTCTGGTACATGGTAACCTTGCAGTGGGCATGGGTGTGACACTGAACATCACGGGGATCTCTTTCATCTAGTTCAGGGGTTTCTTTACTAACTGTGGCAGGAAATTGCCCTGTGGTTCAGTAAGCTCAGGACCATTATCACTCTGAAGGTACTTAGGGAGTCCAAAGCAAATAATTATTCCATTGATCAGTACTTTTATTACCTCAGAGGCTTTCTCTGTCTGGCATGGGAATACTTCTACCCAGTTAGTGAAGGTATCCACCCATACAAAGAGATAATGGATGTCCCTTATCCTTGGCATATGAGTGAAATCCATCTGCCAGTCTTCCTTTGGGGAGCCTCCTATTCTTTGTGTTCTGCGGGAAGAATCTGTCAGTTGAGGGAGTTATTTTTAAGGCAAGTCTCACAAGCATTAAGTACCCGTTTGACCGTTTCAAATAAATTTTTACTTAAAACAGCTTTTGGGTCAATTGAGAGGTTTTATCCTTCCCTAGGTAAAAAAGGCTGGTGGAGGGTTTTAAGAACTTTCCATTGGCTGGAAGTTGGTGGAAGAATTTTGTCATCCTCTGATTGTCACCATCCTGAGAGCTGAATGCTCTATCCCTGAGAGGTGGTCCATTATATCTCCACAGAATATTGAGGATTTTTCTTTCTCTTCCAGAGTCCTTCCAGATCAGGGGGACCTCAAGGGGATGAGAAATATGGGGCGCTCTTGCTGCCAACTTAACTTGGTCTGCCAACTTATTTCCCTCAGCTATTTTTTCTGTCCTTTTGGTGGCCTTTACGATGTATTACTGCCACTTCCCATGGAAGGAAGATTGAGGGTAGCAGTCTGTCCATTTCCTGATGGTATTTAATGGGACACCAAAAGTGTCTCTCTTTCCAGATAGTGTCATGGGCATGGAGAACTAAGAAAGCATACTTAGAATTAGTATAAACGTTAAATGTTAGTGTTCTCTAGAGGGACATAACTTTGTGTGTGTGTGTGTGTGTGTGTGTGTGTGTGTGTGTGTGTGTGTGTGTGTGGCTGATTTTCTTATTAACTCACATAATCACAAGGTCCCACAATAGGCCATTTGTAAGCTAAGGGGCAAGAAAAGCCAGTCTGAGTCCCAAAACTGAAGAATTTGTTGTCCAATGTTCGAGGGCAGGAAGCATCCAGCATGGGAGAAAGATATAGTCTGGAAGGCTAGGACAGTCTAATCTCTTCACGTTTTTCTGCCTGCTTTA